GCGCCTCTCGCCTCTCGCCGCGGCCCCGGGCTCCTCCGCGCGGGGCTGCGCCTCGCACCGGCCGCGGCCGGCGGAAGAAGCCCGCGGGGACCTACCCTCCGGGGGAGGCCAGTTGCTCACGAGAAGACGAGGGGGCTGTGTTATAAGAGGTCACTAGAAAGCCCCGGGAGGAAGTCCCCGCTAGGAATCAGCCACCCACTCTTGAGCCGGTGCTAGCCTTTCGACCTCATCCCAGGTTTCTAGGGTGAGGTGAAAGAGGCCAGCTGTGTTGGCAGACACCCCGTCTAGATGAGACGCTTCCTGCTCTTGAGCCACATCACAGCCTGAGACAGAAGGAGAAGATATTATTGGGGGTGGGGGGCCTGAGTGCACGAGAACCACAACTCTCTTTGTGCTCTGTGCGGGGCCATGCAGGCGCACTTGGCCTCGGCCTCCTCAGCTGTGCAAAGCTGAGCGTGTGTGGGGCGCTGGCCTGGCTGCACGCCGAGCGGCACCGAGGTGGTGCTGTTGTCGCCAGGCCGCCACAAAATCAGTACTGCCCCCCAAGCCCTGGACTTTTGCTATCTATGGTGAGACTGTGGCTGGAGTACGGACTGGACTTTTGCCTTGGTGAGGCCGCAGCTGGAGTACTGCATCCAGTTCTGGGCTCCACAATTTAAAAAGGATGTGGAGAAGCTTGAGAGAGTCCAGAGGAGAGCCACCCGTATGATCAGAGGGCAAAACAGGCCTTATGAAGACAGGGTGCGAGCCATGGGACTCTTCAGCGTGGAAATGCACAGGCTCAGGAGTGACTTAGTGGTAGCCTATAAGTACTTCAGGGGTGTGCATCAGGATCTGGGGGAACGCCTGTTCACCAGAGTACCCCAGGGGATGACAAGGTCCAATGGTCACAAACTCCTCCAAGACCATTTCAGGCTGGACATAAGGAAGAACTTCTTTACTGTCTAAGCCTCCAAGGCCTGGAACAGACCTTGCAAGCACCTACTCTGGACACCTTCAAGAAACATTTGGATGCTTATCTTGCTGGGATCCTTTGACTTCCTGCCCCTGGGGTAGGGGGCTGGATCCAATGGTCTTACAAGGTCCCTTCCAGCCCTAATGTCTATAAAATCTACACAAACCGTGCTAATAGCTGGCTGTGCAGTTTTATTAGGCTAATTCGCTGTAAATGTCACTAAAAAACCATGATACGGCACTACTGCACAATAACTCTAGGTACTGTGTATTTAGTTATTATTTTTTGAAGCGAATACTAAACTAAATGCTAAGGCACACTAACGAATGTGTAGATGCACCCTGTCAATACAATTTGACTTTAAAGTAATAGATGCACAGAAACTATTCCAAGGTAAAAACACCAAAATGGGAAT